CTTTCCTTCTGATTTTCTCCCTTCGCGGGGTGTAGACGGTCGACTTCTTCGTCCGGATCCTCCTCGGAGTTTCGTCGGACGTCTTCTTGGTGCACGGACGCACCCTCTGCACTGCTTCTGATCGGCCGCATGTTCTTGACGGCGCCGCCTGCTGCTTCTTCCGCGGTGGCTTCCCTTAAAGCGTCTTGGAAGGATAATTCTTCCTTAGCGAAAAGTCTCTGTTGTAGCTCTCGATGCCTCAACCCGCACACGAATCGGTCCCTCAGTCGTTCCTCGAGGTCCTTGAACTCGCAGGGCTTGGCGGCCTTCCGTAACGCGGCGATGTACTCCTTGGCTGACTCCCCGGACCGTTGATCCCTCTGCTCGAAGGTGTGGCGCCATGAGATAACGGACACCTTGGGGTGGAAGTGGTCCTTCAGCAGCTTCTTCAGGTCTGCGTAGCTTACAGACTCTACTGGAACAGGTGCTGCAAGGTTTTCTGCGATTTCGAAGGCGTCTTGGCCGCAAGCGCAAAGCAGGGTGGCAGCCTTCAAGCTATCTTCCCTCACTTGGTTTGCCTTGAAGTAGTTCTCCATTCTGGATACGTAGGACTCCCACCGCTCTGGATGTGAGACGTCGAATTCCGCAAGCCTTCCGATTTTCGCCATCTTCGGATCTTCAGGAGACGGGTCTATCAGCCAGCCTACCCCCGAATGCGCACTGGATTGGCGGGCAGCTGCTGAGTCAACACCGTTCCTCTTCCGCCGCTCAGGACTCCTTGGGTAAGCTTACACTTTTTCCTTTCCAGGTAGTGCAAGGCATCCCACCTTCGTCGCCAGTGTTGCGTCCTTGGCGGGAAAACAGACACGAGAAGCAGCTGGAGTTCTCAGGTTCTTTTATTCAGCGTTCAGCTTACAGGAAGATGGCTTCAGCTCAGCCCAAACGCCTCACAGCCTCTTATATAGGCAACTCCCGGGTAAATGGGTTACTTTTCCCGCGCCAGCACCCGCGCATGCGCACGGCGCTGGCGACAGCCTGTCTGGTCCCGGGCAGCTTTACACCTGCCCGGGACTGCCTGCAAACGCCCGAGCCGTTTGCAAGGCTCGGGACATAACATCTGCGATGACAAAGAAGAGATCAGAGTGGAAAAAACAAACTGAAATAAAGGAGAAAGCAGCATAATTCTGTGTTTTGCTTTTCCTCAAAATCTATTGTCTTCTTTGAATGTTGATCCCTTCTCACTTAAAAAACAATATGGAATTGATAGATGGGCATAGTGAGGCTAGCCTTTCTTATGTATAGTAGCTCTCATTTTTTAAAACCATGCTGAATGAGTTTGTGGCTTTCTGATAAATAAAATCATTTTTATTCACTCTGGGCTTTATGTTAATTTGGTAGAGCCCAAGGGATGAGTGAGACAGCCTCTTATTATGTAATTTATATTTCTTTTGCACAAGTATATGAGTTCTCTGTAATTTGAATGCTGCTATCTGTAGGCTAGACCCACATTTCTTCTCACTTTCAAGAAGTTTGACAGGATGTAACCAGCTAACTCTGAGAGGTAATCTATGCAAGTTTTTTGTTTTGTTTTTGAGAAAGATAGTAATTCTGCTTTGTTTGAAGGAGGTAAGTAATCTCTTTCTTAAAAAGGCCATTCCTTAAGCCAGCTGTGTTTGCCTACTCTCCAGCTCTATCTTTTGGAGCAAGTTTGTTATGAAGGTATTGGGAATCAGTTACAGAGGATCACAGAGGAAACAAATTACCTACATGTTTTTCAGTCAGGATTCAAACTAAATCAAGGGACAGAAACAAAATTTTCTGTTTTTTTCTGTTTTTTCGAGTAGCTGATTGGAGAATACATTGTTTGATCCTGTGAGACCTCTCAATAGGAGTATCATTCTGGATCATCTACAAGGGTTAGAAGTAGTGAGCACTGTTTTACAATGATTCTGTTCTTCAGTCGGTGGTTCCTTATTCATATTCAGTTTTTGAGTTCATGAGAGGCCTGCACAGAGCCTGACAGGACTCAGAACTCTTTCTCATGTTGTTTTAACCTCTGTGTGAAACCACTGGGAGAGATCATCTATCAGTTCAAGGTGATATGTTATTGGTATTACCAGACTGATGGCACTTAATTATAAGTTGCTACCTTGGGCCAAACCAGCGATATTCTGGAAGTTCAGAACTGGTGTCTGGAGGTTATAAGCATCTTAGTATGACAAAACATTTCAAATTAAACCATATCAAAACAGACTTGCTTGTTTTCAGTAAGCATCCAGTAACACTGGATTATGTGCTAGATGACACTCTTTCTCTGTGGTGGCTCTCATTGTATGGAATTCTCTTCTCTTTTCATGAAACTATACTTTGATACCTTTGAGAACTTTAGCTCCTGGTGGTCCCAGTGGCATTATTCACCCTTTGTATTTAACTTTTGGATTTTATAATTACATATTGTTCTTTCATAAATGGCTGTATGTGTGTGCCTATAGACCTCAGGGATTGGGCAGATTATAAGAATTGAAAATACTGTACAAAAATCAGGGAAAAATGATTCAAAAAAGAAATAGCAATAAGGAACAAGATAGAGCATGTATCAGATGCTCCAACATCAACATGGGTCACTATTCCAATGGGATGTAACAACCTGCATAGACTCAGACTTTGCCTATATAAATACATTTGCAGCTCCACAAAGGTCATAAAGTCAGGATGTAAAGAAAATGCCTGAGAGAAGTTTGAGCAACAGTGGAAACCTACATTCTGAACCCAGTCTGGAATTTTTTTTCTCCATATCATGCAATTTTGTTTTCATTCTTCATTTAAAAAAAAACTGGTGATGGTTTTAATTTGAAGTTTGCTCCATGTATTCCTTTGTTACTGAGACATACCAGGCTTGACGGTGTCAGTGCTTAATTAGCTCTTAAACAATACTTATTTTCCACGCATTACAGACATGTAATGTGAACATTATGGAATCTGTGATTTTTATCATGGTTATGATTTTCCACTGGCCCTGGTTATTTTAATCTCTGCGTTTCATTCACTGCCAGGCTATAACCCAAGAACTGCAGAGGATTCAGGAAATGGGACAAGAAGTTATTCCATAACTCTGTAATACTCCTCCATAACTCATCACTAACAAGTTGCAGCTTGACCTGTGTTCTGTAAAACAAAATGAAAAGTTGGATCAGACAATGAATATTTAATAAGATATTGCTATTAAAAAATCCACCATAAAACCATAGCTGAAGTAATTATGCGTTTATTCTAGCAAGTAGCACAAGCATATCCAATAAAGGAGACTAGATCATCACAAGCATATCCACCTGCTTAGATCAAAGTTATGCAACTAAACGAGAAACTAATAAGCTCATACTTTTAATATATCTGACTTAGTAGTGTATTTTGTTTTGATATAATGAATGGAAGTTGAACTAAGCTACCTACAAAAATTCATTTGTAGACAACAGGTAGCCACAAGTTAGATTTCAAACAACAATCTAGATTTTTCAGATTCATTTGTAAAGCTAACTTTTAAAGATAACTTGACATTAAAATTGAAAAAATCTGGTAGTACAGTAATAGGGCTGCTTGGGAGGTTAGAATGCGAATGAACTGAAACAGTAGAATTATCTGCCAGGTTTTCTTGGCTTTAATCCCCTATTGAGTCAAATACTAGGGAACAGAGGAATATCTGTTTCTTTCTTAGGCTTTTAAAAAATGGCAGATATTGTAAGGATAAACCAATGGTTTGTAATGTATTCCTGCAAACATTTTGTATGTTTGATGCCCCCTTTTAATAGTCTTTCCCTGGCAAAAGTAAAATATGACTAATTATAGAACTTGTTTTGTACTAGGGGTAGAAAGCTGAGGGCAATGTGGTTGGAAACAAGACATTTCATTTCTTTTTTGGATGGGATTTGGATGTTAGATAATACCCTGAACAGAATTCTACAGGAGCCATATGGACTCCAAGGAGTCTGTGGAGCTTGTGAACTAGTCCTATTGTATTAACTGACTGAGAAATTTCTGTAAGGAGAAACAGAGGCTTCTTTTTCTATTTTCCCACTTAGTTTGGCTTTTTCAGAAGGAAAGTAAATAAGGCAGTTTTAGATTTGTAATTGTTTTATATTAACTAATGTTTGTGATCTTGTCATACACCTACCTACATTTTTTGTTTTAGTGGAATCTTTGTTATTGTTCTTTAAGCCCATATAGGTCTCATTTCAGAAATATGGTTTTTCTTTACTTATGGCTGTTACTTCGTATAATTATGAACTTCATCTATCATCCAGAAAATGCTTAGAATTTTTTTCTCCAAGCATGCCTTTAATTCTTTTTTGAGTTTATATTCGGTTTTCATTTCAATTTGTGGATATTTGTGCTGAACCATTCTATAAGTGGAGCTAGATTTTTAGAAATAAAACCTGCCTTTAATTTAAAGCTTTAAATTTAAGTGTTGTACTCCATACTATATCCAGTTTCAAAGATTTTAACAACATGATGCAGTTTTTGTGTACATTTAATAGAGAACTAACAGTTTCCATGCTGATTAAAATCTACCCTTGAAAACTTTCTCTAATAGCTACTAGGCAGAAAAATAATCGTTATGGTAATCAGTAGTAATGGTTATGTTGTAACACAAATGTTTGAAAGCATATCAAAAATATTTTATAAGTTTGTTTTAAAATGTATATTAAACAGTAGAAACAACTTTTGCATACAAATTTCATCCAAAAACATACTGAGTCTTACTAATGTAAAAGAAACTTTCAAAAGTCATAACTGTGTCTTCTCTTCTTTAGTTGAATAAAATATTTCACTGGTTTATAAGTGATAATTTAATAGAAATAGGTTTTTCATCTATTCACTTCACTAACAAATCCCACCAAATTGAAATATGCACATTGGCCTTATAATTTTGCTATATATTTTTTTTTTATCTTGGTGTGTCTGTTCAGTAAAGCCTATAGTAAAACCTATTGTACCCTGCATTACACTGATGGTCTCATTTATAGGCAGGTAACCAGACGGCTACTGTAATTGCATTGTGTTCAATGAGAGATTTCAACTTGTCTCAAGAAACGTGCCAGTTGGCAATTAGAGATGTTGGGGGTCTCGAAGTGCTGATTAATTTGCTTGATACTGAAGAAATCAAATGTAAGGTGAGTTAGTTACATAGTGAGCAGTAATTTTTTTTAGGATTCCAGTAGCTTTCACACAGGGTGTTCATTTTGTCTTCCAAATCCTTCTGTTTCTTTTAAACAGTTCTGCAACTATCACTCATCTTGTAACACTGTGTATTTTAATTGAAGCCTCATAATGAGTCTTAACATTTAAGCCACTGGGGAAATTTAAGGAATTAAAACAATTAAGAACTTATGCATGAATTACAGCGCAATTTGGAGAATCCTTCTGGCTTCCATGTACAGGGACAAAGGAAATCAAGATTTCTTTGGTTATTTCCTTTTTGCATCCTCACATGAATTCTCTTTAGAGGCTTTTGCCATCATGTCTAGGAAGCAAAAGAATTTGCTTCTAAAGCTTCGTCACCACTTGCAGTCATCCACATCACAGTCATGATTGATAATAGCAATTTTCTATTTGACAGCATGATAATACCTTCTTCTCATTCCATGAGTGAAACAATCATCCTTAGGAGTACTTAAGTTTTAAAGTAATATATTACACTTTAAATCAGTACCATCCCAGCTTAGCTTCAAGGTGTATGAAATCTGTAATGTTTTGTTACCTATTATCTTAGAGGCAAGGTCAGCTGAGAAGGAAGATTATAGGAGTGTTTGTGCAATGGGGCCGCTCCCAATAATCTGCTCATTAAACAGCCCCTGCCACAGCTACTTCCCTTGTAGGTTTTGCCCTTTTCATTACTATTATGTTCTTTTCATGCTTGTCACTTTTCCTTATCCTTCTCTTTGGCACCAACTTTTCTCCAGCTTTCTAGAAGGTAGAGCAAAGAAGAGCAGACTGCCAGTATTTCATTTTCAGAAAAGGGGATACTCTGGGGCTTATTTGTTATTTTGTTTTCATTTGTCTCTTACAATCACTGTTCCACTCTCCTCTGACCCATGTGGCTAGTTCAATTAGTCAATTTCAGTTCTTTGGCAATATAACCTCTAGCCAATTTTACAGTCCCAACAGACCCTGTGTCCTCTTTTCTGTTACTATTTCTGCGCTAGCATCTTTCCGTATTTTATTTTATTTGCTCTTATTTTAAACTTGGGAGATGATCTAAAGAGGTAGGAGGAATAGACAAAGATAAGCCACAGATGAGAGACAAAGTTCCCAGTCAGAACCTCAGCTTTCCTGCTGAAGTGACCTATTCGATGAATATTTTCTCTGCTGACTGGTGAAATTCTAAAGGGGAAAGCAACAAAACCAGAGAAGAAAACAATCACCCTGCCTACAGTGAATAGCATAATCCCCAGTCAGAACATCACCACTTGATTATGACTCAGAACAGAAGTTGTAGAAGCAGAATATGAATTGGCAGTGCTGCCACTGTTTGAGTCCTGGATGGGTGGAAAGTAATGGAGGAAGACCCTTTGCCTTCTGTTTTTTCATTCTGTAATCAAACTATATGGAAGAAGGAAAGGCATGTAGCATCTCCTGTGGCATGAAAATCCGCATAGTACAGGTAGTCGTCGACTTACAACAGTTCATTTAGTGACCTTTCTAGGTTACCATGGCATTGAAAAAAATGACTCATGACCATTTTTCACAGTTTTGACCTTTGTGGTGTTCCCATGATCATGACCAATGCTTGGCAACTGGTTCATATTTATGACAGTTGCTGTGTCCCAAGGTCATGTGATCACCTTTTACAACCTTTTGACAAGCAAAGTTAATGGGGAAGCCAGATTCACTTATCAACTGCAGTGATTCACTTAACAACTGTGACAAGAAAGGTAGTAAAATGAGGAAAAACTCACTTAACAAATGTCTCACTTAGCAACAGAAGTTTTGGACTCGATTATGATCATAAGTGGAAGACTACCTACATAGAAAACTTTCCAGTATAAAAAAAAGCAATCCATAACAATGCGTTTTTGTTCCATTAGATTGGTTCATTAAAAATCCTGAAGGAAATTAGTCAAAATGCTCAGATAAGACGTACGATTGCCGATCTTGGAGGATTGCAGATCATGGTTAATATACTTGATTCTCTAGATCAAGATTTGAAGTGTTTGGCTGCTGAAACAATAGCTAATGTAGCTAGGTTCAAACGAGCCCGAAGAACAGTCCGTCAGCATGGTGGAATCAAGAGACTGGTAAGTTGCTTATATACTAATATAAGTTTTAATATCAGAATTTCATTCTAATCATGTCTTTTTTTTCCTCTAACAGTAATGGGGAACTAAATGTATATCAATGTAGTCAAATAAATTCCTCTCCCTGTGACAGAAAGGTTATTCTGCTTTTTTTTTAAATGCCACTATGAGGCATTGCATGCCAAAACAAGTAGACACAGGGACACTTTTTTCTCTAGTGCCTTCACTCTGCTGAACATCTAATTCCACAGCACTGTCTTATGTCTAAAGATATTTACCCATGTGGTAGGGCTGTATTACTATCATCCTTCTCCTCTATTATCTTCTACTATTGGTATCTTATGATTATATTACTTTGCTGTTTATATGTACACTGAGATCTTATGCACCGGAGACAAATTCTTTGTGTGTCCAATCACACTTGGCCAATAAATAATTATTCTGTTCTGTTCTATTCTATTCCTGTTTCTATTTTTATTTTTTTCTATTTCTATTCTAATTCTACCTTATCCTACTCTACCCTATAGCAGACATTAGTAGAGCTGTGGTGGCGCAATGATTAGAATGCAATATTGCAGGCTAATTCTGCTGACTGCCAGCAGTTCGATTCTGACCGACTCAAGGTTGACTCAGGTTTCCATCCTTTCGAGGTAGATAAAATGAGGACCCAGATTGTTGGAGGCAATAGGTAGACTCTGTAAACCACTTAGAGAGGACTGTAAACATTGTGAAGTGGTATATAAGTCTAAATGTTACTGCTATTGCTATGCGTAGCCTTCCTTGAAAAGAAAATGAACAATCCCCAGTCAGAACAACAATTATCTTTAAAATGAACAGTAACAGTAGCATCTCTCTGAAATTCTTGCCATTTTGAAGTGGAATACAAACATAACCTCTAAAATAGACCAAAGATAATTTTTAAAAAAGAGCCCGCATCCCAAGAAAAACTATAAATTTCTAATCTTAATCCTTTGACCCATCCATAGTGTTTCTTTGCCTTTCCCAAAATCTCATGTGGGAACTCTTCTCCCCCTGCTCCACCAGAAGATTACAGACCATTTTTTTACAATCAAAAGCTTATAGGCAACAAGAGCTAGAACTGGATAAGATATTTCCTTCTTTCATTTCTAGAACAAATGTTATAGGCATCTTTATGGTATCTTTCAGTGCTAGGATGTATATTTGATTAGTGCCCATCAGGGTGTACCTGATCAATTTTATTGGATTATTGTTTCTTACCAGGTTGGGTTGTTAGACTGTTCTGCAAGCCTCAATCAGCTTCAGGGAAAAGAAATTGAAGTAGCACGTTGTGGTGCTTTGGCACTGTGGAGCTGCAGCAAAAGCGCTAGGAATAAAGAAGCAATCCGCAAAGCTGGAGGCATCCCTCTGCTGGCTCAGTTACTGAAGTCTCCTCATTCAAATATGTTAATACCTGTGGTAGGAACTTTGCAAGAGTGTGCCTCTGAGGTAAGCAATGTTGCTTCTGAAAATTCAAATGTCTATCCTCCACAGATCAAATAGAAAGCAAAAGTAGATAGTGACATTACATTTTAACAATATTCTATCTATCCATTCATCTATATACTAATCAATCACAAAGTGATACAATTGACTACAACATAAGGTAATTTCAGTGATTCCCTGTAATTATATTCCATTATGTTTAATTCTTTAAATTAATAGAAATTATGGTATTTACTTGAAAGGAATAGGAGTTGTCATTTCCGAATAATTACAAATAGAAATAACTGAAATTTGTGTTTGGGTGTGTGTGTGTGTGCATGCGGAGGGTGGAGGGGATATATAGTCCCCCTCAGGTGACAAGCTGATCAGTCAATTCCTGTGACAACCAACAGATCCACACTTAGTTGACTAAAAAAAAAAGTGGACCCTGCACTTGTGGGAAAACGCTAGGGAGAAAAAAAAACTCATTATCCCTAGGATATTATCTCCAGATTTTGTAATCAATCCTTTTCTGACTGAGCAATAACAAATATTTGTATATCAGTATGGGTGTTAGTGGGAGATCAGTTAATTTTGAAATTGAATTGCCTTGTTTTATAACCTATTGATTGTATCAGGCTTTTTTTGGTCCAGTATTGCCTTTTTTTGAAGGGACGTTTCTGACCAATGTGTACAGATAGTCCTTGATTTACAATAGTTCATTTAGTAACTGTTCAAAGTTATAACAACACTGAAAAAAGTGACTTATGATCATTTTCCACACTTATGACCATTGCAGCATTTCCATAAACATGTGATCAAAATTCAGATGCTTGGGAACTGGTTCATATTTATGATAGTTGCTGTGTCCCAGGGTCATGTGATCACCTTTTGCAATCTTCTGACAAGCAAAGTCAATGGGGAAGCCAGATTCATTTAATAACCGGGTTACTAGCTTATCAGCTGCAGTGATTCACTTAACAACTAGTGGAAGAAAGGCTGTAAATGGGGCAAAAACACTTCACAAATGTCTCAGTTTACAAAAGAAATTATGGGCTCAATTGTGATCGTAAGTCGAGGACTACTTGTATTACACATTCTTATGCACAATTATAAAGTAGGTAGACAGATGGACATATAAATTTCCTGATTGGTTTTGGCAGGAATTGTCTTCCTTAACTCACAAGAAAAAGAGGCCTTGCAGTATAGAGGAATATTTGCTAGTTTTATAGTCTTCTACTAATTTTCATTGTTAGGAAGATAGCAAAGACAAAAAAAGAATTTAACTTTGCCCACATTGGTAATTTATTTTCTAAACATTTTTTTCAAACCTTTTCTAATAGGTGTTTATTTGTATTTGTAGCCCAGCTACAGACTAGCAATCAAACAAGAGAAAATGATTGAAAATCTTGTGAAAAATCTGAACAGTGAAAAGGAAGAATTGCAAATGCATTGTGCCAGTGCAATCTTTAAGGTAAACTTTAATCTTTTGAGGCAAAAAAGGTTCTCTGTGCTATTTCTCTTTAAAAAAATAATGGGACAAACTGGATACCTATCTAGGAAAAAAAATGGTGGAACTTCTTCACCTGCTCTTTATCACAAAAACTGAAATAACTGAACAAGATGCTTATGAGAAAATACATACAAATGGGCTAGAGTGGGAAGGAGAAATAAAGAAACAGTAAGTAATTGAATTTGTAACATGCCAAATTTATCAATTTATTGATTTTTAAGATATTGTCAGTTATCTTGTACTGATGGCACAGTGATTAAAGTGCAGTATTGCAGGTAAACTTTGCCCATTGCCTGGAATTCAATCCTGACAGGGCTTAAGGTTGACTCAGCCTTCTATTCTTCTGAGGTCGGTAAAATGAGGGCCCAGATTGTTGTGGGCAATAATGCCTTTATTGCAAACCACACAGAGAGTGCTGTAAAGTGCTATAAGCTGTGGAGGGATTCAGCCAGTTTGCACCACTTCGGGCAGAACTGATAGCTAATTTTTTATTGCCCAGGCCCACCCAGAATGGACTTCCGGAAGCAACATCCACACAGAGAACTGGTTGTTCACATATTTGAATCCCACCACTGGCTCTAGGGTAGTATATAAGTCTAAATGCTATTGCTATTTACTGTACAGTAGTTACAAATCCTCTAGAATAAGCAAAGCCTTATATTTAAAAAGTTCCTGTTGGGCTATAGTCTTACTATTCTTTGGCCCATGTTCTAAGAGTGCTTAATTTGTCAGGATTCTCCCCATGAAGTTGCATACAGGACTCTGAATCTGCAATGGAAAATGCAGTCTTGAATAACTTTGTTTATCTATCAGCTCCTATGTGTCTAAATTTGACACCATGAAACTTTCAAAGGAAAATGATAATAAAAGCTTTAGATCCCCCCCCCAAAACCACTAGCCCTTTAACTTGGATAGTATTAACTCCAAGCCCACCTCCACAAATTAATAATTTAAAGAGGATGGTGAATTCTCTATTGCTGTCATTCTTTAGTTAGCAGAATTCTGGAATATTGGTCTAGTTAGCATTGCTTTGTAAATAGCTTGCCATGTTTTTTCTCCTACTTATCTCCCTTCATATTCTTGCTTTATTTAGGAAATAAATATGGCTGCTCATCTACCTATAAAAAAATTGGGGTACTGAACAAAAATTAAAGAATTTTTTTAATGTATATTTTATTATGTTTTTACAGTAACACTCTTTAGTATTAGTAAGCAACATGTTGTCTGGGTTTATATGTTTGACATTAATAGTAATACATTTTCATTCCTATCCTTTATTCCATTTTTCTAACCATTTATAAAAAAATTCCCATGTTTGAAAATATTCTGAATCTTGCTTCCCCTTCATTTTCAATGTGAGCCTATCCATTTCTGCACAATCCAAAATTTTCTTAATTATGTCTTCTTCAGATGGTATTTCTTTGTTTTTTCAGTATTGAGCAAATGTAATTCTCACTGCTATTAATATATGTAATATTAAGTATACACATTTTTATTATAATTTTCTGAGATTGCTAGTCTTGCAGGTGGTAGATACCATCTATAGAACATTTTATATAAATTTTCTTTATAAGTAGCTGTCCTTGTTATTTTGTAGTTTTTTTTCCATAAGTTTTGCCATTTTTCTAACTCTACATTGTGTCCAAAGTTTTTTGCCCAAATTATCATTGTTTCTTTAACTTGTTCATGTTCCATCTTTAAATTTAATAGAAAGCTGTATAGTTTCTTAATCAATTTGTCATCTGATGACAATAGTATTTGATCTAACGCTGTCTGGTCTTTGTAAAAACCACATATTTTTGTATCTTTCTCATATCTCATTTGAATTTGCAGGTGTGGCTACCATGATAGCTCAGTGCCCTGTTCTTCCAATTCTTGTTTAGTTTGTAGTTTCCCATCAGTATTCAAAATATCTTTATAAGTCACAAGTTTCTCATAATTAATTAAGTTTGGGTGTACGAACGTCTTCATTGTTGAAATCCATCCTATTATTTTCATGTAAGTTCTTGATTTTACCTTTTCCCATGTCAAAAGCAGTGCATTTCTTTCATAGTGGTTTTGAAAGTATTTGTGAAATTTGTTCTTCCCATACCATAGGAAAGCATGCCATCCAAGTTGTAGGTTGTGTCCTTCTAGGTATAGTAGTCTTTTATTTCTAAAAGTTATCCATTTTTTTAACCATGTTAGTGTGGCTGTTTGATCCAGTCTGGTAGCCCAAAAGCTCCATTTTCTTTTGCTTCTTGTAACATCTCCAGTCTGATTCTAGCTTTTTTCCCTTGCCAGATAAATTTCAATATTGATGTATTCAATTCATTGAAATTTTTTTTGTCAGTTTTTATCGGTATTGTTTGAAATAGAGTAGCTTGGGTAAAATTTTCATTTTCACAGTCGCTATTCTTCCCAAGATTGATATTTGTAGATTTTTCCATTCTTCCAAGTCTAGTTTTATTTGTTTTAATAATTTTACATAATTATCTTCTTTTATTGTTGCATACCCTGCTGTTGGATATATCCCCAAGTATTTAACTTTCTTAGTTACTTGAAGGTCTCTTTTTTCTGATAATTGTTTTTTTTATCTGTGAGGTTTTTAACTATAACTTTAATATTTTCTCTATTGATTTTCAGTCCTACTATTTCTCCAAATTCTTCAATCTTTGCTAATAATTTAGGACTTGTTTCTAACGGATCCTCCAATATAAATACCAGGTCATCAGCAAATGCTGGTACACCCTAGAGAGAATTTTAAACCATTAAAGCAAAAATGACAATGCTGAGGCCCCAATGAAACTTACGTCCATAGATCAACCATACCATGCAAGCCTCATTAACATCCTGACTTCAGTGTCTGGAGGAAAAACCATTGTTTTTCTGAAGGCCAATAATGTTAGGCCATCCATATTTCTTGACTGAAACTGTATTTGCCAATGTTCATTTTGAGACTTCTCACTAGAGTGATGAAGAAATGGGCTTGAGATCTATTTATTTTTATAGGATTTAAGCCTATACTATTTGTTTGCATCTTTCTAATTTAATTTAGGAATCTAAATATTGCTTCTAGGATTTTAAATTTAGTCCATTTAAATCATATTGCTATCTCTAAACAGAACATGGTAGGGTTTGATCTGGATTTAAAACGTGTTTTCAATGTCTCTTTGTATTTATATTTTCTTTTGTTCGTTTGTTTTTACATAGTGTGCTGAAGATCAAGAAACTCGTGACCTTGTTAGGCAACATGGAGGCCTGAAACCTCTTGCTACTTTAGTTGCTAATTCTGGAAATAAAGAACTTCTGGCAGCAGTGACTGGAGCAATCTGGAAATGTGCAATCAGCAAAGAAAATGTTACAAAGTACTTACAATATTTGCTGTCTTGAAATATATGTATTGTAGTTAGCACCTCCTGCTTATAACCAGCCATAAGAATTTACAGACCATTAGGATTTTAAAATCATTAAGATTTAATAGTTATGTATGAGTAACATCAGGAATATTTAGGTGTTGTGTGTGCACTTTAGATGGGGTTCTGTCTAACTCCAGTTATCATACTGAAACTTAAAACTTGTTGAAATATTTATTGGAGAAGTTGGTAATCTAATAATATGTTTAAGCCAACGTTTACTTTTCAAGAATACCTGTAGTTATCATCGACTGTATTCTCTATTTTAATGTCACCTAGATATATTGGAGTAAAAATTACAGTAGTTTTTGCCCTGTTGGGTAAGGATAGTGGGAAACACAGTCTAATCCATTTTACAGATCACTAAATTGAGGAAGGATATCCAAGAGCTATTGATATCTGCAAGCAATGACAGATCGGCCTTTTATGCATTTATGTGCAGTGTTGCAATAGAAATATGAAAGGGTAGAATTGGTGTCATGGGGCATGATGAATATTTTGTCAGTTTGGCATCATAATTGATAGGAACAGATGTGCCTGGAAGTTAGAGAATTACAATTTGTGATATTAAAGTAAGCAGCAAACCCTTGTAAAATAAGGCATATTAGAAGTAATTGTAGCAGTAATGTCAAGATTCGGCTGAAATGGGTTTGTGTATATATGTATTGCCAGTTTCAATTCAAATGTTTATGAATCTTGAATTTTATGATTTCTAATTATAAGACACAGTCATGACTCAGAACTATAAAATTCTGGAAAATACTGAAAGTACAAAACTTCTACTAAATTTATTTATTTAAAAACGTCATTCCTATTGTAATATAGAGTGATAATAGCTCATCTACCTTTAAACCACCCAAAATATGAGACAGAATAATGAAATCCAAATTCTTTGAATTTAATTATAGTTGGAGTAAGTCTGTTGATAAATATATGTATATTTAGTCATGAAACTTTGATTTTTAGATTCCGAGAATACAAAGCCATAGAAGCTTTGGTTGGCTTGCTAACAGATCAACCAGAAGAGGTTCTTATAAATGTGGTAGGTGCCCTTGGTGAATGTTGTCAGGAACAAGCCAATCGGACCATTATCCGTAGATGTGGTGGAATCCCATCTCTTGTTGCCTTACTCACTGGAACCAATCAAGCTCTTCTTGTGAATGTGACTAAAGCTGTGGGGTCTTGTGCAACTGAACCAGAAAATATGGCGTAAGTTTTTCTCTTTAGTATATATTATATGCACATTGCCATATTTGTCATATTTGAAATTAGTGCTATGAAAGACACATAAATAAGAATTACATTTAGCAAATATTTAGTATGTTTGAAATAAAAGATTTCAACTAAATAATATTTGAAATATTTCAATAACTAAAATATTAAAATTAAATAAATCAAGCTTCACAATATTTTTGAGACTCTTTTCTATATTCATTGGTGATTTTGTGATGGGCTGAATATGAACTTATCCTTGCTTTGACTATATTAGCAGAATGTGGTCAATGGAATTTTAAATCCTGATTTTTATTTAAATGGGAGCATTAAATGCCACAAGTTGTTTTGTAAACTCATGTTGTTTCAAAGTCTTTTCTAAAATGACATACTAATGAATAACTACTTCTGGTTTCAGAAACATTACTAGAATTTTAAGATTTTGTACAGTTTTTGGATCTTGAACTTTTATGTTAAATATGAATTAATATAAAAGTTAATAACTTGTAGTGTTAAGGTCACAAAGAGACTTGATCTAATGTAGCTTTCAGTTAATTTCACAAGCTATTTACAAGAATGATTTCCAAAATTGCTGGGAGTAATCTATCCCTCTTTTGGAGTCTTCTGTGTTTTGTGTGTGTGTATGAGAGAGAGAAAGAGGTGTGGTGTGGTGATGGAATTAAAAAGAATGAAGACCCAATGACAAAAAATAGTTTTGTGTCTTTGCCTTAATAAAATCCTAAAACCTAAATTGGTCTCTATTAATGGAAAGATTTGGGAAGAGTGCCAATAATGATCTACTTTATATTCTGTATCATGTTATGATATTAATATGGGATCATTTCAGGTATAGTGATATCAAGTCTCAATTTTAAAAATACTGAGTAGATCGTATCATTTTTCAAAATTCTATATTCAGAAGAATGGGATCATTTTGGTAGTACAGATTTCAAAATACTGCAAAACAATTTAGGAATAAGTATATAGTAACTTCCAAAGTTTAAGTAGTTTAAGGCTGATAAGCATATGAATGATCCTATGCTTTTCTTCCGAGACAGACATCAGACTCATTTAGAACAATTTCACTTCTAAAGTTTGAGGTAGAAAGTTGGGTTTCTGGATGAGATTCCAGGATATTCTGAGTACAAACTGTACTCTTCACCAACAAATTGTCATTCCTTCTTTGATAATATCTGAATCATAACACCTAAAAAACAAATTATATATTTCTTTCTAAGTGCTTTAGCACAAAATATGTTTCTTCTTCTGCCCATCTAAGCTTTAAAAAATCTTTTGCATAGTTGACATTATAAGAGTTATCCTGAAGTATTTAAACATTTAATAGCTGTGCATGGAAACTAAAAAATATCAAACCACATTTTCTTTTTTTCTTCTTCCCACATTGCACTCTTAAGTATAAACGAAGTTATTGGTTTTTGACTGTTATAATGTAAAACTTAGATCTGAAATTTACGCATTTCCTTTTGGGATAAATGTTTCATTAAAAGCTTCAAGTAATATTTTGCTTTATGTGGGAAAAGTCTTGACAAGGGCATGTAGTATAGTTCTTTGCTTCTGTACAAGCAAGATCAAATGAATATAGCTCTTGTTTCCTCCCATTATTTTATTTTGCCTCACTTGCTTCTCTTAGTGCAGTGATTTAATTTCCTTGAAAGCACCATTTGTTTTCATGCTTTGGCTGTCACCCAGTGGCAAGATAGGGCAGAAATGTAAATATGGCATAGATGAATGAAGCAAGTTCAATGGTAGAAAGTTATGCATAGAATTATTAGTATATCATATCTCATAAACAATGATTAGTTCACATGTAATTTTTGTATTAACTCAACACTGGTAGAATCATAAATTGGCAATGGAATCCAAATAAGATATTGTAGAGCAGGGCTTTTCAATCTTTTTACCCATTATACCACTTTTAGGATATGGCAATATCCGAGTACCACCAGTCGTCTAGCAAGGTGTCAAAAACTTAATGACCCCCCCCCAAAGGAAAAAAGTGATAAAGTACAGGTAGTCCTCGACTTACAACAGTTCACTTAGTGACTGTTCGAAGTTACAATGGCACTGAAAAAAGTGCCCCCCAAGCCACAGCTGAGCAAGACACCTGCCCACCCGCCCAGTGGCGCTCTTCCTCCTGTCTGAGGTTTCCATTGTTGTGAGCATTTCTTTTGAGGATTGGCAGTGGAGGTGGAGTGGGGGGTGTTTGGCTTTTATTCCCCCTGTCTGCTGGGTGGTTGCAGCAGGTTTTGGTCACTTCACATGACCCTGGGACATTGTGACCATCATAAATATGAATCAGTTACCAAGCATCTGAATGTAAATCACAAGGCCCTGGAGATGCTGCAACATTCCAGCTGATCGGCGCTTCTTCTGAGCTCAGCAGAAGCACCAGGATCAGTACCGAGCTCCAGCTGGAGCCTGGCGCTGATCCTGGTGCTTTGACTCAGCCCTGACAGCCCTGCAGCTCCAGCCATCTCTCACTCAGGCTTGTGCGGTGCTGCCACCGGTTCAGCTCATTCCCCTCTCCAGCTACCACTTTTCTAGGATGTTCGCATACCAGCTGCCAGGTGCCAATGTACCACAGGTGGTACCCGTACCACTGGTTGAAAAGCCCTGTTGTAGAGCATTAATAATAATACACTGCTTGGAGGCTATTGCTTTTGTCTCCAGTTTTATACTAGAATAGACAACCCATGACCTGCTTGGTCATTATTTCAGAAATATTTTCTTACTCAGTTCCTCAATACCTTCAACAATGGCAGTGCTTCTATTATACTGCCTTCACTAAAAAAAATCTTAAAGATTCTGAAAGATATTCAGAGATGTATCTACCTTGAAAATAGCTCATGTTTAACTGTATAAGAGAGTCATACTACAGAAGTTGTCTACAGGACTTTTAATAATATTTTGAATTACATCATAAAATGCTTATAAGTTTTATGTCGTGAAATGTTTTATAAAATTTGCAAAATTACAATTCTTTTTGGGTCATGGGTTCCAGATTTTGGATGCATTCTGTAAGTCCATTTGAGGTATCTTGGTCAAAAAGGTTTTGCCCATGATGTACTGTTTGCCCAGTTAAAGGTTATAGGCATAAGAATTTTACTAGTAAATAAAATGGATATCAAAGCATGGTAGTGAATTGTGATCTAAAAGATATCACTTTATTTAACCAAAAGGAAAGGAACTGTTGATCATTTGAGTGGAATCAAATGAATCTTGAGTTAAGGTATGGATCACTCTTAGTTTATTTTGTTCTTCGAATTTGATTCTCCAATGCAAGAACATTGCTGAATGCTATCACTATCAACCCCTAATGATAGCTGGAACTTTGAGGAAAAGATACAGCAAAGAACATACAAAGGAGAATAATCAAACATCTTTCTAAGTATAGTTTGTGTCATCAAGAGTGATTGAGTTAGCTTTGTTTAGCATGTTCTCAGAGGTCCTATTCCAGATTCTCTCTCATGCTGAGATGTAGCAAATGGTTATCAAGGTGTAGGCCTTCTTGGTGGTATTCCTTCAGTTTGAAATGGCTTTCCAAAGGGTGTGTCTAGCTGTTCATTATTCTTCTGGTTGAAGGCAAATATATTTTATTTCATGCTGCCAGTATATGATTTATGTTTTATTACTGTACTGACGCAAAGGGTATTTTTTTATAATCAGTCTGTGTCTAGGTATGTTGTGTTAACATATGGCAAACTTTTACTATTTTTTTAAAGAAGAAAACTCTGTTTTGAACAATAATGCTACAATAATAATAACAATTATTTGGCTTAGACAAAGGTACTACAACAGCAATAAATCGGTAAAATCACAAACAATAATGGAATGCTGAATGGCCAAATTATCAGGATTTAGATGAAGGCCTCAAGTATCTGGGCATTTTACAGTTGGATAACACCAAGCATGGATAAATTAAAAATGTGATTAGTAAAGATTATATCCAAAGGCTGAGAAAAGTGTTAAAGAAAAAAATGAATGGTGGAAACACCATCAGAGTAATCAATATCTAGAATTATTAACTGAGGACAAGCTGAATTGGACAGTTTGAACCACAAAACAAGAAAGCTAATGATTATTCACTATGCATTATATTGCTGTAGTTATATTGATTGATACGAACAGTGTCGGGGTCCAGTGCAGGGGCCAGCGGGCCAAGGAAATGGCTGGCCAGTGTGCACACGTGTGGGTGTGCATTTCCTCCCCCACTCATGCTAGCGCCCGCAGCCCTGTTTGCACCTGCATGGATGCTAGCGCAGGGCGGGTGTCCGCAGCCCATTTGCATATGTGCCGCTAGCCTGGGTGGTTTGTGTAGCCCATTTGTACATGCACAAACAGGCTGCTAGCCGCCCTGGGATGTATGGCTGCTCACGCATGCGCATGTTGTCAGCGCATGCCGCATGCACGAACGGGGCTGCCAGTGCCATGCCAGTGTGCATGGCCCCGTGTGCACACTAGTTTTGAAGCTGCTCTCCTTCCCTCCGGTCCTCGAGCCCGGAAAGGTCAGAGACCTCTGGCCTAGTGGTCAAAATTCCCATTTGAAAGGTTAAAAGTTCAATTCTAGGTAGTGGCAGATGTTTCTTTCCAGGGGTGCAAAGAAAAAAAGATATCTGCTACTAACTCCACATGGCATCAAGAAGGTCATCTGGCCAGTAAACCTCAGCTCCATCCAATCTCTTCAACCCTACCTCAAATTAAGTGTTTTAAAAAGGGAGTTATATTAATTGATATATCTGCCCTACAGAAATGGAGGCCAGAGATTTACTTCAAGTTAAACAATCTGTCAAGAAGAAACATATGCATTGGCTTTTACATAAAAACAGCCTAGGACAAACATTGATGCAAGTTAAAAATTGGAATTTACTGAATGTCCAAAATATTCACAAAATATGAATATCAAAATAAAGTAATAAAACCACAAATAGAATGCTGGTAAGGAAAAGTATTATTTGATCAATTTCTAAAAAAGAATA